ACGTCGAGTTGATAACGACACGTACACAACCCTGTGCCTTGATCGACTCGGTTCACTGCAGCAAGATGCACCATCTAGCTTTATCGGTCAACGAACACAAGAATAGCCTTATTCTTGTGGTCGTCTTAAGAAACCCGAAGCGATAGTCCATGTAAACGGACTGCCAGAACTTAAAAGGAACAGGTAGAGGCTGTAAGGGTGTACGGGATGAACAACTAGGTCCACCCGTTGACAAAACTCACAAGCCCGAATGTACTTGCGAACATACTGATACTGGCGGGGCCATAAAGTCACGACTCGCAGTAAGGTAAGTCTTCGATCTACAACGATGGCCTCCTGTTGGGGCACCGTAACACGCATAAATGATGTGCAAGCGCAAATTGATATGAGCGGGGACGACGACACAAGGCGTGTCGCCGGCAACGGCTGTGTAATAAAGACGCCCATTGCGTGAAGTATACCGATTTGAAGAGGATCGGTACAAAGCCGGTATATCATTCAAAGATGTACGAGATGGATTCACCACATGATCCATCAAGCACAGAATATCCATGTCCACTTCGTAAGCCTTTCGTACGTTGTCAAGTAAATTTGATGACGGATCACTGGCTGTAAGTGTTGCAACTGTGGACTTATCTTCATTTTGGACTGCGCGCCCGAATCGAAATTGGGTCGGCGCGATAGCGCGTCAGCGACGACATTCAGTCGTCCTGGCTCGTACTCCACGGAGAAGTTATCCTCAGCGAAGAAGGACAGCCGCCTCGCAATTCGTTGCGAGAGATGTGGACTGTTTACGGCCGTGCATAGTGACGCATGGTCCGTATCAACAATGAACGGTTCATCTCCCAAGAGATAGACGCGAACCTTAGCCAGTGCATACTTCATGGCAAGGAGCTCCTTGTCATGCACTGGGTAATTGCGCTCAGCTGGTTGCAGCTGACCCGATTGATAGCAGACGACGCGCTCTTCGCCGTCTGTGTCATACTCCATTAACGCACAGCCGATAGCAAAATCGCTGGCATCACAGACCACATGAAATGGTCTGTCCTGATCTGCAATCGCCAAGATCGGCGATTGCATCTAGCTTTGCTTGATACCCTCAAAGGAACGCTGGCACTCAGCGTTCCATGACCACTTCCTATCTTTCTTGAGCAAGCAAGAAAGATGAACAGTCATCTCGGCATAATTGCGCGAGTACTTGTGCAAGTACGCCGCTAGTCCAAGGAACTTCCTTATCCCCTTGACATCGACTGGCACTGGCCAGTCGGTGATCGCCTTGATCTGTTCGGGATCAGGGCGTACGCCGTGTTTACCCACGATGCTCCCAAGAAGTGGTATTTCGCTTGCCGCGAATACGCACTTCTTGAGATTGTCGTACAACTTATGATTGCACATAAGTTGAAGAACCTGACGAAAATGAGCTCTATGAATATCAAAGTCCGTCTTTCCGTCCATAGCCCGTCTATGGACGAACACATCGTCGAAGTAACTCGGTGCGAAGTCTCGCACCGGTCTCAATAGATTTGTGACTCATCTGTTGAATTTTGCAGGGGCATTGCTCAGCCCCTGTGGCATAACTAGCCACTCTCACAGCATACCGCTGGGCGTACTAACTGCCGTGTACGGAACATACCGTTCACGCATGAGAATCTGATAGGATCCATCCATCAGATCCATGGACGAGAAGATGGTACCATTTGACATACCATCTATGATTACGTCCTTCCTCGGTATCGGCGTCTGATCCGGTACCGTTGCAGCATTCAATTTGTTGAATGCGTGCACTATCCGCCATCCTCCTGTGGCCTTTCGCACACAGAAGGTCGGAGAGATGTGTAGAGAACTTGATTCCCTTACATGACTTGCTGTAAAGCGATCGGCAAAGAACTTGTCGATCTCTAATACGTGTTCACGAGGCAGTGGCCCCTGCTGCATGACACCGTACTTCGAGCCCGGTTTGAGCTCGATCTCGTGTCGAGTGACTTTATCCTTAGGCAACTCGCATGGCACGAATTCAGGGAACACATCCTAGAATTTGATTTATCCTTATACAAAGGATTTGTCTGAAGTGACTCCCAGGATTGAGACGTGTATAGCTCAATCCGAGTTTTTTCATCGAGGACACTTTCGTCCATCGATGAGCTACTGAGAACTCGTTCGGTTCTCAGCAAATATTGTTGCCGACCGAATATCGGCCACATACTCATCCTCTGTGACGAGTATGCAGATCTGATTGACCTTGCCACTACGCAGATCACGAAAGAAACGTTTTGGTTTAAGCGTTTGCATTTGAGTTATCTCCGAAATTGACTTTGGAGGCACAACCAGATCAAGCGTATAAGCGCCTACGCTTGATCCGTCATTAACCAAGACGTTCAACGTCTTGGTTTCTTCCTGGGAACTTGCTTCCACAGGTTGCTGAGGGCCTAATCCCTCATCATTAGAATTGAGGGAATTCCTTCCTCAAGCACGTGGAGACTTATTCCCTCGACGTCTTCTGACTGTGGCTGTGCAACCACATTTAGGGCCTTATCCTATACGGTTGACTCTACAGTCGACCTCGGAAGACCGTGTTGACCCTTTGTGGCAGCAGGTTTCTTTTGTCTAGGAAGTTGTCCGCTAGAAATACATGCATGTCCCGGTCCACTCGACTTGTTCGAGTGGTGGACCTTCGGCGCTGCATGTACCTCTGTACAGCCGCCGGGAGATTTCTCTGCACTGTAGTGATCTTCTACACTGTGGTCTTGTGCAGTCGTACTAACGACCGTACGGCAAATGATGCCATCGCACTCACTCGCAGAACGTCCACACTCTTGTGGACGCTCCAAGATGTTCATCAGATGGCCATCTGATGAACAAGCGGCAGGCATCTTACGGGTCGATGCTGCCAGCTCACCCTTGGCTCGTACCTTCTGAGCCAAGGTAATCCCAGGATGACATCAAATTTGTCATACAGATCCAGTACGATGAAGTCATCATCGTACTGTTCGCCCTCTAACGTGTAGTGGATTACTACTACACGTTTCTCAACGGTTATCGATGCGCCTGTGGCAAGGCGCACCGTCATCCTCGATGAGGGGAATGTCGCGCTCAACGAACTTGAGCCTACGACCCTCTAGTGACTGGCGTCGAACAAATTTGTTCGACGCCCCACAGTCTACTAGGGCATGAAGCGACAAATCATTTGTCGCTTCCAACTTCAAGGTGATGAGCGAAACGCCATCACCAGGTGCAGAGACACACAATGATTGTGTATCTGGAGCAACTTTCGTCAAGAGATTTGAAAATTCTCTTGAGGTTGCTGGATCAGTAAGGCGCTCCGCCCCTAATGACCCCGACCAATGTTTGATGGTCCGTCTCGCTGTTGCGAAGCTTCGCAACAGCGCTGGACCCACGCCCATTGCCCTTTCTGGCAAATGGTCGTCCATTTCGCTCAGTACTGTTTGGTACTGGCCGTGGAGCACCACACTCGTATGCGTAGTGTCCTAACTTCTGACAGCGATTGCACCTCTGCAATCGCTTGTTGTTCGAAGAGCGAGGTCTCTCGCTCTCAACAAAACAGAGGTCCATTGGTTCTGGACCTCCGATCTCTTGTCGTCTCGGTGGACGATAAGAGTTTGAGCTAGCATGAGCCTGTCTCATGCTAAAGTCTTCCTGTTCCGCGGCTGATATCGCATATTCCAGCGTATTCAGCTCAAGGCGGAACAGGTGGCTCCTGACGAGTCCCTCTGCGAGCCCTTGCATGAACACCGTAATCAACGTGTGTTCATGGACTGGGTTGGTAGTTATACTACTCGCGAGGAGTCGTATATGTTGAGCGTAAGCGTGCACATCACGCTTACCCTGCTTGAGTTTCAGGAGCTCTGAACGAGCCCTGAACTCAGCCCGTGGCGGCTCAAACGTTTGTCTGAGCCGGGACTTGAAGTCATCTAGCGACCTAAACACATTTGGGTCGCTACTCTCGAGTCCCAGAGACCAGGTTTTGGCACTCCCTGCCAAGTGGGTTTGAGCAAATGTGAGTTTCATTTGCTCATCTTCGACGCGACGAGCCCTTAGGGCTCTGTCGAGTTCGACAAACCATAGTAACAGGGAGTCCTCCGGGACTCCACTGTACTCGGAGATGTCAACTTTCATGACTTCGGGACGACGCGCATGCGCCGTCCCGCCCACAGCAGCATGGAATTGCTGCTGTCTCAACAGCTCTGTCTGTTGAGCACCGAGTTCTCTCAACTGCTCGGCCTGTTGAGAGCCTTGCTGGTGAAGCAAGGCTACTTTCTCCCCTTCGGCGAAAAGTTCACTTTGAATGAACTTGGCTATAGCGGCATGTTGTTGGTCTCTGTCTAGAGACTCCAACATGGCGCTAATGACGAATTCGCCTACGGTAGACCTCATTCGTTCTACCGCACCCCATTCGATGTCACTCAAATGGGTAAACCCTTCACGCGTGACGTGAAAGGTCTCTTCATCATCCAACATGTTCATGTTGGATGTTGTGGTCCTTGGAAGGACTACAAAGTGCTACCAGGTGTAACGGGGCACACCCTTGGTTGAACCTAACGCAAGGGTATCGGTGCCCCGACAGACGTACACGAGGCAAACGAGGAAGCGTTGGTAAGGTAAAAGCAGAACTGTTATATTAATATAATTAAGTCTTTTAACTACTGTTTCTCTGTTCGACTTAACTTAATTAGGTTAATATAAGTGAGTGTATGGTGGCGTCTCGTCACCACTCATTGCGCGCGTCTTGCGGCGATTGGTGGGTTAATATCATCAAGATATCAACCAATGAACAGACTATTTGGTCGATCCATCAATATCACCACTATTGGTGATATTGTTAAAAGAATATTCAACATAATATTCGTTACTGTCATTATCTCTCAAATAACAATTTCCATGTAACGGGCTGCCTCGTTACAATCACCATCCGGGCTAAGAGCGGCGACGCGCCAAAGGGTGTCTGGATTGACCATGTAAAAGTATCCAATGTCGGACGACAAATGTTAGTCATCAATTTTTCTGGCGCGACGGGTCTCACAATCAGCAACTCAGACTTTGACGGCCGCACGAAGTTCTTAGCTTCTTGTGACGGTCACCACTACTTGGGTTTCTTGCTACTTGGTAAATGGACTGAGTTGAGCCTGCTTGGGAACTACATCAATCACAGTTCAGGTCAGTCGCCTAAAGTTGGAGGCGGCAAATGCGAAACGACTGTTCTTCACGCCGCCAACAACTTCTTTGACTCGAACTCTGGCCACTCATTTGACGTGGTAAACGGAGGATACGTTCTGGCCGAAGGCAAATACTTTTCTAAGGTGAAGATACCAGCTCAAGAAGCGTCTAAACACCTGTTTGTGCCAACTTCAGCTATTGACTGCAAGGCAGTCATTGGTCGTGCCTGCTCAATGAACGTTCTCAAGGATTCCGGACCTCTAAAGGGACGCTTAGGAGGTGAGGTAAGCTCTTAGTTTGCTAGTCTTAAGAAGTACATCACTAGTTAATATGCAGGCCCTGCTACTTCATTCGAGGAGGCTAGAGGGAACTTTGGTGTCGGTGAACTGGGAGACGCAGTTGCTCAGGCGGGTGCCCCGAAAAAAGTGGTGTCGCCGTATCTAGCTCAGATGCGTCTGCGGGTGGAGAAGATATGGAAAACAGCGTGACGCAAGACGACATCTTGACAGGCTCCTCGTCATCCGACAAGTCTACGTCATATAGTCCTTCGGCAGGTGGTCCCATCACACCCGGTTCGGATACATCGAAGTCAATGGACAATACCGAGGCGCCAGTCTCAGAGGACAAGACTGGTGGGCAGGCGGACAAAAACGCCGACGACGACTTCGAGGAAAGTGACAAAGAGGGCAGCGATGGCTCCAGCCATCTGCGCAAAAACGAAAATGATGCTAACGCTTGGCAGCCGTAGAAGGAAGCCGATGACGATCCAAAGAAGAGTGGCAAGGAAGGTGGTGGCGGCTCTATCAACATGCAAGAAAGCGGAGGTAATTATAACGGTTGCAGACGTACACAAATGGCAATTCCTACTGGCAGGGAAGCGTCAAGGAAGGGGGGTTATTCTGCTCGGCAGGCCAACTCCGTCGCCGATTCGTATTGGAAGGCGTTTGGCAACGACGGCGGCGCTACTTCTAGCACCTAGTTCAAAAGTGAAGGCAGGAAGCCTAATAACGAGAGGACCAGTCCACGATCGAACCTCACCTTAAAGATGTTTCGAACGAAGAAATAACTTAGTCGAGGGATGGCACGTACGATCTTGACTTCATCGACGTTCAACAAAGACTTGAAGAGCGCTCGGCCACTTTGCGGCGATGGACGGGACCAATTGCCATGTGAGATGCTACTCATCTTCTACACGGTCGGAAGAGCGCTCGTCTTTATGTGCAAGTTTTGGAAGAGAAACGGAACTAGCGCAGTTAACATCAGCTTTACTCGACGTTTGGGGTCACGAATTTGTATTCTTCGTACGACTGAAAAGGTAGACGCAGTTGTCGCATTTCGATTGCAATGCGCGTCAAGCAGCTTGTGAGTGCTGCTGCACGTACCTTGCAACAGTGACATATGGTAGTAACAGATTCCTGCAAAACTTTATTTTGTAGGCGGGTACGTGCGCTACAATCTACTCTGCACTTCGAATTGAACTTAAAACCCAAATCACATGTGTAACGGGGCAGCCCGTTACATGGAATTGTCACTTTAAGGAAAGTGACAATAAAGAATATTATGTCGAATATTCTTTTAACAATATCACCAATAGTGGTGATATTGATGGGTTTACCAAATAGTCTGTTCATTGGTTGATATCTTGATGATATTAACCCACCAATCGCCGCAAGACGCGCGCAATGAGTGGTGACGAGACGCCACCATACACTCACTTATATTAACCTAATTAAGTTAAGTCGAACAGAGAAACAGTAGTTAAAAGACTTGATTATATTAATATAACAGTTCTGCTTTTACCTTACCAACGCTTCCTCGTTTGCCTCGTGTACGTCTGTCGGGGCACCGATACCCTTGCGTTAGGTTCAACCAAGGGTGTGCCCCGTTACACCTGGTAGCACTTTGTAGTCCTTCCAAGGACCACAACATCCAACATGAACATGTTGGATGATGAAGAGACCTTTCACGTCACGCGTGAAGGGTTTACCCATTTGAGTGACATCGAATGGGGTGCGGTAGAACGAATGAGGTCTACCGTAGGCGAATTCGCCATTAGCGCCATGTTGGAGTCTCTAGACAGAGACCAACAACATGCCGCTATAGCCAAGTTCATTCAAAGTGAACTTTTCGCCGAAGGGGAGAAAGTAGCCTTGCTTCACCAGCAAGGCTCTCAACAGGCCGAGCAGTTGAGAGAACTCGGTGCTCAACAGACAGAGCTGTTGAGACAGCAGCAATTCCATGCTGCTGTGGGCGGGACGGCGCATGCGCGTCGTCCCGAAGTCATGAAAGTTGACATCTCCGAGTACAGTGGAGTCCCGGAGGACTCCCTGTTACTATGGTTTGTCGAACTCGACAGAGCCCTAAGGGCTCGTCGCGTCGAAGATGAGCAAATGAAACTCACATTTGCTCAAACCCACTTGGCAGAGAGTGCCAAAACCTGGTCTCTGGGACTCGAGAGTAGCGACCCAAATGTGTTTAGGTCGCTAGATGACTTCAAGTCCCGGCTCAGACAAACGTTTGAGCCGCCACGGGCTGAGTTCAGGGCTCGTTCAGAGCTCCTGAAATTCAAGCAGGGTAAGCGTGATGTGCACGCTTACGCTCAACATATACGACTCCTCGCGAGTAGTATAACTGCCAACCCAGTCCATGAACACACGTTGATTACGGTGTTCATGCAAGGGCTCGCAGAGGGACTCGTCAGGAGCCACCTGTTCCGCCTTGAGCTGAATACGCTGGAATATGCGATATCAGCCGCGGAACAGGAAGACTTTAGCATGAGACAGGCTCATGCTAGCTCAAACTCTTATCGTCCACCGAGACGACAAGAGATCGGAGGTCCAGAACCAATGGAACCTCTGTTTTGTTGAGAGCGAGAGACCTCGCTCTTCGAACAACAAGCGATTGCAGAGGTGCAATCGCTGTCAGAAGTTAGGGCACTACGCATACGAGTGTGGTGCTCCACGCCCAGTACCAAACAGTACTGAGCGAAATGGACGACCATTTGCCAGAAAGGGCAATAAGCGTGGGTCCAGCGCTGTTGCGGCTTCGCAACAGCGAGACGGACCATCAAACATTGGTCGGGGTCATTAGGGGCGGAGCGCCTTACTGATCCAGCAACCTCAAGAGAATTTTCAAATCTCTTGACGAAAGTTGCTCCAGATACACAATCATTGTGTGTCTCTGCACCTGGTGATGGCGTTTCGCTCATCACCTTGAAGTTGGAAGCGACAAATGATTTGTCGCTTCATGCCCTAGTAGACTGTGGGGCGTCGAACAAATTTGTTCGACGCCAGTCACTAGAGGGTCGTAGGCTCAAGTTCGTTGAGCGCGACATTCCCCTCACAAAGATGACGGTGCGCCTTGCAACAGGCGCATCGATAACCGTTGAGAAACGTGTAGTAGTAATCCACTACACGTTAGAGGGCGAACAGTACGATGATGACTTCATCGTACTGGATCTGTATGACAAATTTGATGTCATCCTGGGATTACCTTGGCTCAGAAGGTACGAGCCAAGGGTGAGCTGGCAGCATCGACCCGTAAGATGCCTGCCGCTTGTTCATCAGATGGCCATCTGATGAACATCTTGGAGCGTCCACAAGAGTGTGGACGTTCTGCGAGTGAGTGCGATGGCATCATTTGCCGTACGGTCGTTAGTACGACTGCACAAGACCACAGTGTAGATGATCACTACAGTGCAGAGCAATCTCCCGGCGGCTGTACAGAGGTACATGCAGCGCCGAAGGTCCACCACTCGAACAAGTCGAGTGGACCGGGACATGCATGTATTTCTAGCGGACAACTTCCTAGACAAAAGAAACCTGCTGCCACAAAGGGTCAACACGGTCTTCCAAGGTCGACTGTAGAGTCAACCGTATAGGATAAGGCCCTAACTGTGGTTGCACAGCCACAGTCAGAAGACATAGAGGGAATGAGTCCCCACGTTCAAGAGGAAGGACTTCCCTTCGAGTTACATGGTGAGAGAACAGCCTCTCAACAAGCTGTGGAAGCAAGTTCCCAGGAAGAAACCGAGACGTTGAACGTCTTGTTTAATGACGGATCAAGCGTAGGCGCTTATACGCTTGATCTGATTGTGCCTCCGAAGTTAACTTCGGAGATAACTCAATTGCCAACGCTAGAACCGAAACGGTTCTTGCGTGATCTGCGTAGTGGCAAGGTCAAGCAGATCTGCATACTCGTCACAGAGGATGAGTATGTGGCCGATATTCGGTCGGCAACAATATTTGCTCAAACCGAACAGGTTATCAGCAGCTCATCGATGGACGAAAGTGTCCTCGATGAAAAAACTCGGATTGAGCTATACACGTCTGAATCCTGGGATCACTTCAGACAAATCCTTTGTATAAGGATAAATCAAATTCTAGGATGTGTTCCCTGAATTCGTGCCATGCGAGTTGCCTAAGGATAAAGTCACTCGACACGAGATCGAGCTCAAACCGGGCTCGAAGTACTGTGTCATGCAGCAGGGGCCACTGCCTCGTGAACACGTATTAGAGATCGACAAGTTCTTTGCCGATCGCTTTACAGCAAGTCATGTAAGGGAATCAAGTTCTCCTCACATCTCTCCGACCTTCTGTGTGCGAAAGGCCACAGGAGGATGGCGGATAGTGCACGCATTCAACAAATTGAATGCTGCAACGGTACCGGATCAGACGCCGATACCGAGGAAGGACGTAATCATAGATGGTATGTCAAATAGTACCATCTTCTCGTCCATGGATCTGATGGATGGATTCTATCAGATTCTCATGCGTGAACGGGATGTTCCGTACACGGCAGTGAGTACTCCCAGCGGTATGCTGTGAGAGTGGCTAGTTATGCCACAGGGGCTGAGTAACGCCCCCGCAACATTCAACTGATGTGTCACAAATCTGTGGAGACCGGTGCGAGACTTCGCACCGAGTTACTTCGACGATGTGTTCGTCCATAGACGGGCTATGGACGGAAAGACGGACGTTGGAGTCCACATAACACACGTTCGTCAGGTTCTCAAACTTATGTGCAATCATAAGTTGTACGCCAATCTCAAGAAGTGCGTATTCGCGGCAAGCGAAATACCACTTCTTGGGAGCATCGTGGGTAAACACGGCGTACGCCCTGATCCCGAACAGATCAAGACGATCACCGACTGGCCAGTGCCGTCGATGTCAAGGGGATAAGGAAGTTCCTTGGACTAGCGGCGTACTTGCACAAGTACTCGCGCAATTATGCCGAGATGACTGTTCATCTTTCTTGCTTGCTCAAGAAAGATAGGAAGTGGTCATGGAACGCTGAGTGCCAGCGTTCCTTTGAAGGTATCAAGCAAAGCTTGATGCAATCGCCGATCTTGGCGATTGCAGATCAGGACAGACCATTTCATGTGGTCTGTGATGCCAGCGATTTTGCTATCGGCTGTGCGTTAATGGAGTATGACACAGACGGCGAAGAGCGCGTCGTCTGCTATCAATCGCGTCAGCTGCAACCAGCTGAGCGCAATTACCCAGTGTATGACAAGGAGCTCCTTGCCATGAAGTACGCACTGGCTAAGGTTCGCGTCTATCTCTTGGGAGATGAACCGTTCATTGTTTTTACGGACCATGCGTCACTACGCACGGCCGTAAACAGTCCACATCTCTCGCAACGAATTGCGAGGCGGCTGTCCTTCTTCGCTGAGGATAACTTCTCCGTGGAGTACGAGCCAGGACGACTGAATGTCGTCGCTGACGCGCTATCGCGCCGACCCAATTT